ATTTGGAATCCAAGGTCCTAGAGTCTGGAGGAAGGGTGGAGAAGCTCATAGCCCAAGTTGCTTGAAGTCCAGTGTTAAGTTTCCACAGTCTGTGATGATTTGGGGTGCAATGTCATCTGCTGGTGTTGGTCCATTGTGTTTTTTGTAAACCAATGTCACTGCACCCGTTTACCAAGACATTTTGGAGCACTTCATGCTTCCTTCTGCTGACCCCTGCCCACACTGCCAAAAGCACCAAAAGTTGGTTAAATGACCATGGTGTTGGTGTGCTTGACTGGCCAGCAAACTCACCAGATCTGAACCCCATATCTATGGGGTATTTTCAAGAGGAAAATGAGAAACAAGAGACCAAAAAATGCAGATGAGCTGAAGGCCACTGTCAAAGAAACCTGGGCTTCTATACCACCTCAGCAGTGCCACAAACTGATCACCTCCATGCCACGCTGAATTGAGGCAGTAATTAAAGCAAAAGGAGCCCCTACCAAGTATTGAGTACATGTACAGTAAATGAACATACTTTCCAGAAGGCCAACAATTCACTAAAAATGTTATTTTTATTGGTCTTACGAAGTATTCTAATTTGGTGAGATAGTGAATTGGTGGGTTTTTGTTAAATGTGAGCCAAAATAATCACAAAAATCATCACAATTAAAAGAACCAAAGACTTAAACTACGTCAGTCTGTGTGCATTGAATTTATTTAATACACGAGTTTAACAATTTGAGTTGAGTTACTGAAATAAATTAACTTTTCCATGACATTCTAATTTATTGAGATGCACCTGTATATATAATCACACACACACAAAGTGCTTAACAAATTTATTAGACCACCTGTCAAAAACTTTTTTAAAACTAAAAATTGTATTGTTATTTATTGAGCAAATAAACTAAACAACTAAATAGTCTTTATTCACACATAATAACAAAACAACTTATATATATATATAATTATTATTTTTAAATTAAAATTATTGCATAAATATTAATCAGTACCATAAAATTCTCTCAAAATACAAAATAAAAAATATATTATTGAACATTACATTGATTTTACTGAAAATAAAAAAGTTACATTTCAAGGCTTTGGTCACTTTTGACCATGAAGGAGCCAAGTATGACTCCTAAACTAAGAGGGCCAAAAAACAACAAAATAAAGGCAATTTAGTATGAGCAAATTAAAATATTAAACAGCAAGAAATTACAATGTAACCATTTTAGCTAAATGTTTGATTTTATTTTGTTGCTAAAGTGTTATATTTCAAGTCACCATAGTGTTTAGTGTTCCCTTCAGTGAAGTTTCTTATATAAGTGAGACTCTATATAACTTTTCAGTTTGTTAAACAAACTGAAATACAATAAGTAATTGCTTATTGTCTACCTAAATACAATAAGCAATTCATGATGACATCACAAGATTTTGTTATCCGAAGGCACAATTGCATATAATTGCCTTGAAGACAAGATCTTAATACAGCCAACAATAGATTACTAACTCTCTCTCCCCTCAATAGAGCAGCTGAGCTCTACTGACTGGACAGTGGACTCTGTGTACCACATCCTAGACCTGCTGAGCTACATCAGAACAGACCGTCTTATTCTTCCAAAGAGTAGTGAGTAAGTCAGTTTCATTCCCTCAAAAACACCTGTCAGTGATGTCATTTATAGTAGCTTTCCATGGTCATTCTATGATCTTCTCACTATCTCTCTCTTCCTTTGGCTAGAGAACGCAATGAGTTGCTTATTCTCTGTGGGTATATTGGTGCACTATTAGCCATTGGGAGACAGTATTCAAGGATAGTGCCAGCACTGTATGAATACACAAGGTATGTTAACTGTGGGATTTATATCAAGTATTTATGGATTTATATCAACTCGATTACTGGTGGTTGCAATTAATTACTTTTTATCTTTCTCCCTTAGTCAGCTGCTGAAGCGGAGAGAAGTGGCTGTGCCATTGCAGATAGAGCAGTTGTCCATAGAGTTGGATGCCTGGAGAGCCTGCACACAATCCCTCAAGTCTTTACCACAGTACCTTACTCTAATGCATAATACAAAACAGCAATGTTTCAAGATCTACCTAGTCAGTATTTTAAAGCAGCATATGCTATTCCAAACAACATGCAGCAAAATAATGCTGCTATATTTTTTTCCCCAGTTTCCAAGCCAGGACCATATTGATCCCTCATGGAAAAGGCACTCCCAGAATACACTGCTGTTAGGGTGCTGCCTTAACCCTTGTGCTGTGTTGATAATCATTTACCTAATTTGGTGTTCTCTGTCAAAAATAACCAGTCGTTTAAATTGCTTGTAAATTTCTCATTAGGCATTTGGATCATGAAATATTGGATTCAGTCTTTTTGTTAACTTGTTTTCTTTCAATTAGCACAGGTTTTGTATTTCTTTTAGGAATTTATTTATCATGGGCTTCATTGATCTGAGCTTATTCACCTTAATGTTTGAGTGGAAAAAAGTTCACTCAAGTTTACTCACCTCAAAAAAACTAAGGTGCATAAGCTCACGTCAATGAGGCCTACAATCAGTCGGTTCCAAAAAGAAACAAAAAACCTGTCCTAACTGAAAGAAAAAACGTTGATAAAGAGATTGAATCCTATATTTGGCAATAACATGGTATTTTTTGTTGCCCAGTCATTTTTGACTTGGGAACACCAGTGTAAAAAAAAGAAAGAAAAAAGAAGCCAAAAAATGTTTAATACGTTGTTATACCCTGTGTGAGCAAAGTCAATAATTCTTTGCTCAGTCCAACTGCGATAACGTTAATTTAAATAAAAAAAATATCCTCTCTAGGTCGAAATGACCAGAACAAAACATGAGGAATAAGCCTAAAATATACTTTAGTTTTGACTTGAAAGGCTTAGCGTATGCGTACATCTCAACACATAGCTTATCAAAGTACACTCGATTGGATAGCTTTTAATAGGAACCTGCCTATGTAGGCAGTAGACAACAAGACTAAACCTCACTAGGTTTTGCGACAGATCTAATAACTCTGCTGACAACTGAAGAGACTTGAAAAATAATCTATTGTTCTCGTTCTCTCTACACATACACAGAGTGGCAGATGACACCTCTTACACTCCACCATCTGAGGCCCAGAAAACGGAGTACAGCCAGCTGTTGAGTCGAATGAGAGAGGAGCCCGTCAAGGGCCTAGAGGGTCCCGACTATGTCACTGGCTCTAACTTGCCCAGCCACTCTGATGTCCAGATTTCTTGCTTCACTGGCCTCAGGATACAGGTGGGTGTCTTATGGGTAGTCTTTAGCACTACACAAATATCACTGAACTTACATATGTCTTTATTTGCTTGGCAGGGTCCAGCATTCTTCCTAGAAGACGGCAAATCAGCCATTTCACTAAATGATGCCCTGATGTGGGCAAAAGTAAACCCTTTCTCTCCGTTGGGGACGGGTATACGCCTCAACCCCTTCTGAGCACAAATACAACAAATGTGAGCAGTATTCTTGCTGGTCTGGCTCTGGAAAGGCGTCAACATTCCCGTTTTCTCTCAGAAAGCTTTCAGAATTGACCACGTTGTTCAAATCAACATTATTTGAGGCTTTGCCATTCCATTGTGCTTATTTCATTCAGGATTGCAGCTTATATGCAAAGAATGAGCAAAAGCGAGAGTGCTGATGTAGTGAATATACAGTACACAAGGCCAACAGCACAATTGTGATGATATTTATTTTATACAACAGTTCAGTAAACAAGAAGTTAATATCAAGCAATGCTAAGTAACTTTTTTTTTTTTTTAAAGAAGGCAAATGGATTTTGACAAGCAACACAGAGACTGATTCACTATAAACATAGGCAAGCAGAGCGATATGTACAGTAAACAAAAACATGTTAATTTGATGCAGGCCAATCAAATTAGAGCACCACAGCTAACTGTTGTATAAAGAGAGATTTATGCTAGATACAGTAATGAATGTTACATCAACAATGAATGTTAGCAGGATATGTAATGCCTTTCTTTCTCATCCTAAAACATAAGCAGGTTCAGGTATTTAGGTTTAGATGTCATGTTCAGGTCTTAAGGTTGAGATCTATAGCCCAAAGATTGTAATTCTAGGTGGTACTGTCACTGGTATTATGGAGTATGAGCATTTTCATCATGCAGCCTGAATGTTCTGTAGATCTAGACATTTTTTAATTCAACACTTACAAGGTATTCATCTTTTGATGTTTGCGTATTTGATTTCATGCTGCTTTGACATTGAAACAGTTTGATGTGTCTGTTGTCTGTCACATATGAACTGAATATATTTACTGACTAGTGAATATACACCTTATTTTAGTAGAACCAATTACTAGATTGAAATACGAGTTTGAAATCTCATATTGTAACAATCACTATTTAATGTTGCTTCATTTCATTCAGGAACTATTATGAGTAGGTATATAGAGCCGGTCTGAGGCCAGATGTGTAATATTTGTTCATAGAATATGGCAACACTATTTACTGTTAAATTCAAAATATGTCTAAATGAACTTGGGCAATAAGTTTGAGAAACTGCACATATAGAGTGAGGAAACAAAACATTTCTGCTATTACATAGCTATATGTTTGGAGTGCATTTCTGAAGTTACAAAATAAAAGGCAAAAAGTGTCATTTGTATTGGTAAAATCATCAGTTGCAATGGCTGTCATACATAGCTGACTATATACAATGTTTGGGAGGAATTCTTTTTGTGAAATTTCGGTTTTATGTTAGAAAATACAGATAAAGAGACTATTTTCATCAAATTGCACTGTGAAATGTATTTATTTGTATATAGTTCTAGAATTTATGTCTGAACTCCAAGCTAAAATGGGTGTACATAGTATATTGATATGATAATTGTTAATACACAACAAAGGACAGTTAAATGTCATACAGTGGGGCAAAAAAGTATTTAGTCAGCCACCAATTGTGCAAGTTCTCCCACTTAAAAAGATGAGAGAGTCCTGTAATTTTCATCATAGGTATACCTCAACTATGAGAGACAAAATTAGAAAAAAAAATCCAGAAAATCACATTGTAGGATTTTTAAAGAATTAATTGGTAAATTCCTCGGTAAAATAAGTATTTGGTCACCTACAAACAAGCAAGATTTCTGGCTCTCACAGACCTGTAACTTCTTCTTTAAGAGGCTCCTCTGTCCTCCACTCGTTACCTGTATTAATGGCATCTGTTTGAACTCGTTATCAGTATAAAAGACACCTGTCCACAACCTCAAACAGCCACACTCCAAACTCCACCATGGCCAAGACCAAAATTGTAGACCTCCACCAGGCTGGGAAGACTGAATCTGCAATAGGAAAGCAGCTTGGTGTGAAGAAATCAACTGTGGGAGCAATTATTAGAAAATGGAAGACATACAAGACCACTGATAATCTCCCTCGATCTGGGACTCCACGCAAGATCTCACCCCGTGGGGTCAAAATGATCACAAGAACTGTGAGCAAAAATCCCACAACCACACGGGGGGACCTAGTGAATGACCTGCAGAGAGCTGGGACCAAAGTAACAAAGGCTACCATCAGTAACACACTGCACCGCCAGGGACTCAAATCCTGCAGTGCCAGACGTGTCCCCCTGCTTAAGCCAGTACATGTCCAGGCCCGTCTGAAGCTTGCTAGAGACCTGCAGTGCCAGATGTGTCCCCCTGCTTAAGCCAGTACATGTCCAGGCCTGTCTGAAGTTTGCTAGAGAGCATTTGGATGATCCAGAAGAGGATTGGGAGAATGTCATATGGTCAGATGAAACCAAAATAGAACTTTTTGGTTAAAAACTCAACTTGTTGTGTTTGGAGGAGAAAGAATGCTGAGTTGCATCCAAAGAACACCATACCTACTGTGAAGCATGGGGGTGGAAACATCATGCTTTGGGGCTGTTTTTCTGCAAAGGGACCAGGACGACTGATCCGTGTAAACGAAAGAATGAATGGGGCCATGTATCGTGAGATTTTGAGTGAAAACCTCCTTCCATCAGCAAGGGCATTGAAGATGAAACGTGGCTGGGTCTTTCAGCATGACAATGATCCCAAACACACCGCCTGGGCAACGAAGGAGTGGCTTCGTAAGAAGTATTTCAAGGTCCTGGAGTGGCCTAGCCCGTCTCCCGATCTCAACCCCATAGAAAATCTTTGGAGGGAGTTGAAAATCCGTGTTGCCCAGCGGCAGCCCCAAAACATTACTGCTCTAGAGGAGATCTGCATGGAGGAATGGGCCAAAATACCAGCAACAGTTTGTGAAAACCTTGTGAAGACTTACAGAAAACGTTTGACCTCTGTCATTGCCAACAAAGGGTATATAACAAAGTATTGAGATTAAATTTTGTTATTGACCAAATACTTATTTTCCACCATAATTTGCAAATAAATTATTTAAAAATCCTACAATGTGATTTTTCTGGATTTTTTTTTCTCATTTTGTCTCTCATAGTTGAGGTATACCTATGATGAAAATTACAGGCCTCTCTCATCTTTTTAAGTGGGAGAACTTGCACAATTGGTGGCTGACTAAATACTTTTTTCCCCCACTGTATATTGATCCTGAAGTAGAGTCAGGCATCGGATTAAGTCAGGACTAATTCTGCATGCTCCAAGTGTCTAATCTGTTTATTTCGACCGATGATATCATAAAAGTGCAAGGTGAGATAAAAGCAAGATCATTGTCAATGATAATCACCTTTTTGTGTCTATGATTTGATAATTACTATTAAAAAGATGACGTGTACAAGAAATCCCATGATTTTATTTTTTGTTTACGAGTAATGCACTACACTGAACATGACTGAAGTAATTAGTTCATTAATCAGGATTCAAATAATAATACATTTATAGCACCAACTGCAATGACAAAGAGAAGGGAGACCAATTAGACCATCCAGTTTTACATATCATTCTTTATTTGTATGTAATTGATGTATCTTATGTAACAGTTCAGGATGCAACTTGGGAAGCTGTGAAAATACTGACAGCAAACTGAAGGGTTGTGCTTTTGGGAATTATATATATATATATTACATTACTTTGATAAAAAATATAAAATTCACTATATTGACATGCACTTCAATAATTTCATCCCGACATAATCAATTTGAATCATATTAGGCATGCAGTTTATATTGACATATAAGAATGTGCGGGTTAAAAATGACATTTACATTAATCTTGTGAAGATATTATTTACAAAAATATAACATGTTCATTAGATGCACAAAAATATATCAGTATTTAAAAAAAAAGTCAACTTAGAATAAGTAAAATTAATGGCTAGCATGATTTAGTTTTTTGTGCGTTGGGGGTCACAAACAAGACTGGGTGACCTTTTTTGTACATTAATGCACTCAATATAAGAAAATAAGGGGGGGGGGCTTTATGGAGGGAGGTACAGAATCTATCTGTACTGGAGGAAACTCTTGAGCAGAGTAGGCAGTTTGAGGTGAGAAATCAGATGCAGTCTGGATCGGCCCATGTAGTTTCGAATACTCAGTCTACACAGCTGACACAGAGACGGCGGCGTGGCTATCAATGAGGAAAGAAAGTTAGCAATATCCCCCTTTTAAAATTGAAATACAAATCTTTTTAAACAACTTAGTGGTTCATAGAGTATATGGACAAATTGTCCCAGCCTAAAATAATCATGCAACTTCATCAAAAAAAAATTTCTGTGAATTTTGAATGCAACTTCATCAATTGGTTTTTTTTTTAGTTGCATTCAAAATTCACAGAAGATCCAGGATCAAGTGATCTGGATCATTTCCTGAACCGATTCCCTCTTTCTTTCCTATCAAAATCAAATGATCAACATTACCCTCATAAAGAAGGAGCACAGCCTCTGCCGTACTGTTGGGTGGCGCTGTCTCCACCGGCCTTTGTAGCTCCAGGTTGCGAGCGTTGATGTTAGCGCCGAAATCTAGCAGCACTCTGATGATTTCTGGACAGTCCTTCTGTGCTGCAGCGTGCAGTGGTGTGTCAAGGAAACGGCCCTTCTGCACATTCGCTCCTAAGAAAAACAGATTCATTTATGATAGCGTAAAATAAAAACTAAAGAAAAGTTAGATGGTCTGAACTCACACCAAAATACACCCAAGTAATTTAATTTCTTTTTTGTGTAGTTTGAACAGTAAAAGTGTGCACAGAGCCACATCAAACTCACCTCCATCCAGAAGTTTCTGCGTACACTGGAGCTCCCGGGAGACACAGGCAATGTAGATAGGTGTTCCTAGATGAGGGATGTCGAAATCTACATCTGCTCCCCACGAGATGAGAGATTCTATACATGCTGCCTGGCCTGAGACAACAAGAACATGTATGTTTACATTTTTGTAACCTCTGCTATAAATACTATACATTCAAATCAACTGATTTTTTGTGGTTAGACTAGAGCGGTTACCTGGCAAGCAGAACTGCATACCTTTGCTAGAGGCCTCATGAATGGGCGAAGGCTGGAACGCTTCTGCCTGTGGTTTTGCTCCATGTTCCAAAAGCACCTCTGTGCAGGTGACACTTCCTGCCGAGCATGCGTTAAACAGTGGGGTCACGCCGTCAATAGTCGTAGCATTCACCTGCCACATCCAAGAATATTTAAACAGCACAATCTGCACAAACAAATCAGTCTGAGCATAGTCTTCTATGATACAAAAAGCAAGAAAACACAAAGTCTTTCCTGAAACAATTAAGGAAGCCCGGGTTCCTTAAGGGAAGTTATCAGAAGTGGCTATATTTCAGTAACTATATGGTTTGGAGATAAAATTCCAATTATATAATTTATTTTGTTCCTTTAGAAGTTTAGATTTGTAATTCAAAAGTATTAAAGTTGAATAGAAAATTGTCATTTTGACCCCCCTTCTACAAAATAGTGGATTACTCAGTAAATATACATTGATGACATTTAATATTATGGTTTTCATCACTATGCATGCTTATCATTCTTCAGAAAAAAATATTGACAAAAACAAACATTTGAGCCAGGGAAATTTGGTTGATTTGACACAGAATGACCCTACATTTTTAATAAATTGGTGAGCAGTAATGTTGTGCTAAAAAAATAATAATACATTTAAAAAAATAATAATTTCCAAAAATCAATTATCAATTATGCATTTTCAATTCAGACTTATTTGTAAAGTGCTTCTCAAAATAAAATAATTAAATAAATAAAAAAATCAAAGCAATGTGTTAACAATGTTTATGTTAAACAAATTTGATAAATATTTTAGTTAACAATTTAACATCAATATCCCTGAAAAAATAATTATAATCATTTTTTTTTTTTACTTTTTTTTATATATTTTCCCCTAACACCTCCCTGCAACAAACAACTGCATCAACCTACTGACCACAGTAGCAAAAACACAGCTACCAACAACACTGTCTTCAGACATTTTATATTTAGTAAGAACAAGAATCATATGTATAACAGAACAGTTGTGAGGGTGTTATATATGCCTTAATACACAGTACTAGTAGCTCCTACCGTAGATTCAGAGTGGATTGAGGAGATCTATATTTAGCAGGAGCTCAATCTAGCCACAACAACATACAACAACTGCCTTCTACAACTGCCATTCCTGGCACAGAACGAGGCCTAAGAGCAAGAGGTTCTGTTACGTACCCATGTCTCCGTCGCCCCACGGCACATCTAGCCATTGATATGAATACGCCATAGCCTGTAAATGAAAGAACGGCTGTCATCTTGAGGCGCAAAAAAGCAGCCGTCTTCTCTTTTCAGCTTAGCTGAGCGAAGGAGATGAGTTACTGCCACTGAGATTCCAGACTGACATGTGGAACTTTAAGTCGCAGCTGTGCCTCAGGCAATTACAATGATACTAGTTTACTAGATGCTAGTATCATTTAATGATGCAATTTGTGTGATTTTGTGTTTTCTTGTGCATTTAAAAGAATATAT